GGGAAAGAGAGAAGCTGTACTAATTAATAAAAAAGGGCACAGCATTGCACAAGGGAAAACTTTTGAATATGTTGCTCTCAGACTGTATTTTTGAAACCTTTTGATTGTTTTTACCGTATTACATTAACTTTCTAATATAACAACAAATTCCAAGATATTTTTGTGTCTTTAAATAGCTCCTTCAGAAAAAGTGGATTTGTGGAGGGTAATTGGATCTTCACACTCAGCTGGGAGTAGATCTGTACATCTTCTATGGAAGGTATATGCTCTTTTTGTGAATTGATAACCATATTGGTATCCTGCAGCTGATACTGGTGTTGACATATCTCAGTGTTTAGGACATAAAACTGCCAGGGGGTTTTGCTGTCATCAGAAAAAAACCTCGCTGAACTAAAGCAGAATTTAAGAGGCTTTTGTTTACTGAATGGTAGATGCATAGAATTTTGTAATCTTTGCAGAAAGAAAGGGTGTAATTGTGCTCAGATCACTGGAAAAATCTGACTGAAGTCCTTGCAACTGCTCTTAAATAATACAGCTTACCAAAGCTAAGTTTAAATTAATTTTAATTTTCTAGTAGAGTAGCCAGAGACTCTTTGCATTTCAAATCTCAATATTTGGCTTCTGAACCTTTCCTTCAATGAAATTATTGCAGTAGACTGTTCTGACGACGAGACTGCAGAAAGCATCTTGCTTTTCTAAATATTGTATAATTGTTTTGTAATTTGATCCAGACTCTTAAATACAGTATATACTTTTCATTATACAGTGATTATACACTGTGAAACACTTACTACTGCATATGTTTTTTAATAGCCATTAAACAGCTTTCCACCTTCTGGGAGAATTCAAGGCTACAAAATACAGTATTTTCCAGAAAACAATGCTGCACTTAAAATGACAAATTTCTCTGCCAATAAGAATATTAGTTTACTTTTAAATGAAGAGGCCTATATAATATCTGTTACTGCCTATAACTCTGCTGGAAATTCTCCTGAAGCTATTTTGAGGATTCCATCCACTAAAGAAAAAAGTAAGATTTCTCAATGTTGTGATATACTTTTCTCATTAATAAAAAAAAAGATATTCCTGACATCTGTTTAAGTTCTGCTGTAGAGGAAACAAAATTGTGCCTAGAGGACTTTTGTCATAGATTTATGTATGTATAACTGTATTATGTACAAAACTGTGTAGTCCATTGCTTTTCATTAGAACAATTATTATCTGTTTGTTGTATTTTGTTATCTGATATCATGTTTTTATTAGAGACAATTATTGTTGGGGGTTTTAGTTTTGAGATATAGTTATTAACACTTTTTGATACCTTCATAGAAGTTCTGTTCTTTGGCTCTTATATTTAATTCTGCCATCTGTGAACCCTGTATTGCCACATCCTGCTGCCTACCTGTAATCTGTCAGAGTGGTTGTATCTGACACCCTTGAATCACTTCTGCATCAGTTGACTGGATATGTAGACATGATGTCTCGTGTTCTGAAGGTTGCTGACTACCCCTCTGTCCACTTCTGTATCCCGCAGTAAATGAAATAATTTTTTGATTTTTCATTGTGACATGCTTTAATTTTTTTTCCCTTTTTTTTTTTTTTTTCTTTTTTCCCTGTATAGTTCTCTGGTGCTTCTGCTTCACCAGATCTGTTTTCCCTCTGCTATGCTAGATTGGGTTTTCACTCAAATTCATTCCTGCAGGTTGTTGGTTCATTTTTGCTTAATGGTCATTCATGACCTTGCTGATTTGATTTACTGTTTTCCTCTTGCCTTTGTCGTCTGTCAGAACTTGCTTATCTGTAATACTTGTAAAATTGCTAGTAAATTAGTGTGTAAAATTTTATGAACTGTAAAATTCAGGTCCCTAAGAGGCTGGTGTTTGATTCTGTGTCTGTAAATATCCTTGAGTATCTCAGTTCCCCTGCCCCTTTTCATTGTAACAATTATTATATGCTTTATTTTAAAGTGTTTTGAGTACATTGATGTCAATAGAGTTATAAAGCTTTAAAGTTGCTTTTTTTTTAAGCTTGCCTAAGTACCATGCCCTTTTAAAGAAGCAATCTCAGCTTGCTATAATTGGATTGTTTTCTTGTTGCAGATTTATGAAGACAAAATCGTTGACATTTTCTGTTGAATTTTTAGGTTCTCAGATTATTGAAACAATGAGGACCTTTACAACAAATGAAGAAGTGATTGTGGAATGGGTGGTCTCTGAACCAGAAGTAACTGAATATGTAGTTGAGTGGTATGAGGATCTGGGGACAGATCCTTTTGGTAGATCATGGCAATATGTATCAAATTCTACAGTTTGGAAGACTAACAAAAGTATGTTTATATGTATGTACAGCTGTAACAATATACATGTATATACTTCTATATATTATTTATAGGTAGACTGGAAAGAACAAGCAAGGATAGACTCATCCAGCTTTTCTCAAGAGCATTGTAAAAAATAACAGTATTATGACATGCTTTATTGAAATCTTTGCATGTAATTTAATAGCAGTTTTAACTCTCAAATTTCACGCAACATGTGAGTTGGTGTTTGATTCCATGTGAGATTAGACTACAGATTTAATGTTTAAGCATCTCTGTGACTTGATCTTATGCCGTGAATCTTCCAGCAGGGAAGCTTGTGAGAGGTGTATGGTATTTTAGCAAAGAAATCTAGAATAAAAAAAAGTAATTCAAAGATGGAACAAGATCATGTGCCTTCATATAGGTTAGAGAGAGCAAGAAACTTGAAAGAGGATTTGAAGGAGGATTCTACTTCAAAATAAGCAAGCAGAGTGATGAGTCAGTGTGACCTGTCAAGTGTCACAGAATCACATCTGTGAGGCAAGGGAATCTGTGGCAGCAGGCTCGCCAGCTTGGTGAGGTGGGCTTTAAACTGAAGGGCTGGGGGGCGGGGGCAAGGTCCAAGGTGGCAATACTCGTGGTATGGCATCCAGCTGGAGAATCAGCCAGGCCAACCAGAGCAGTGACAAATGTTTTGTTAATTATCCATTCAAAGTATTTCTAGTGAAAAATGAGTCAGAAACTAAGTGCTCTTACGAGTACTACTAAATAAAATTCATTGTATGAAGGGGAGTAATGAGGATTCAAGGCAATCAAAATCAAAATATTCTTCTGATTGCTAAAAAGTTAAAGAAAATAGAGGTCCATAACAGTTTTAGAACTGCAGTTATTCTTTATTTACTTTAATTGTATTTATCCCACATAAAGAATTGTATGTAAGTATTCCCTTTTTTCCTTTGCAGAAAACTTCAAACCATTTATATGCTACAACATCTCAGTGTATCCTCTCTATGGAAATAAAGTAGCAGCTCCACAGTCCTTACAAACTTACGTTCAAGAGAAAAGTACGTGTTTGAAGCTAATAATGCTGTGAAAGCTGTGTAGCCTGTCCCTCAGGGTGTATTATCTTTGAACAATTTAGTAATGACATTACTGAAGGAGGCATGTAGATGCTGAAAAACAAAAACAAACCCAGAATTCAGGCTTCCTGATTTCTGTTCACAGATCAGCTATTGGATTTTCAATAAAGAAAATTTGGATCTTGTGATACAGATACATTGCTGCTTGAATCTACTGATTTGTTGTAAAGTTTACATGCAGCACTTGGAAAGAGTATTGCTACGAACATGAAATGGTTTTTTATACTGCCTATTTCTTAAATGTCACATGTCATTTAGGTGTATAATTAGACTTATTTTAATGTTCAGCTGCATTTATCAGTTGCAATATACGAAGAAGTTCTACTCACAGAATAAAATGGGTTGTTTGAAAAGTTTGCTTTTCGTTAAATTCTATAAAGTAATATTTGCAGTCCTGCACAAAAAAATTGTAAGTCGCCATGGTGGTTGTGATTGGATAGAAACTGTGGATGAAATAGTGTTTTGTTTGAAATAGGAGGGAGAGAGGAGGAAGGTTTCCTTATTTGTAGAAGTTGGCTTCTACAAATACAGCTGGCTTTAGTTTAGTGGTAGTTTTAAGATTTCAGGTGAAAATGGCAGTTTGTGTGTGTGTGTACATAGGTCTATGGAAATATGCTCGTACACACAGTACAATGCAGTACTAAACAGCATTAGTAGTAGGAGGTAATGGAGTGCTGTATGTCTGAGTAATACTAGCACAATTAGAACTTTGTTTTGAGTGCTTTCCTGATTATAAGGAGCTGTGATGGTACTGAACGTTGTCAGAGTGGGAAGGAAGATACTTGTTTTAAAACTGAAGCACAGAGAGCTCTTGCTTCAAAGTTATGGCAGTGCACGTGCAGTTATAGAGTAGAAAGACTCTGTCAAATGTAATGGGCAAAGACTGAGGGTGCTGGAGACCACAGCTGAATCTTGGCTCAGCTAGAGATGTCCTGCATAGACAGTGACCTTGCACCTGACTTCCCTCATAAATGCACATGGATGTTTTACCTCATGATCTCTCTCTGATGCCGTGAGGACAGAGCCTTTTAATGATCTCGAGGTGTTCGGATGCAGTAACACTGAGAACTATGTAAATGCCAGAGCAGATGAAGGGAAGTATTATCAGAAGAAATCACACATTATGGAGGGTGAGAAAAATTAAGGGCTATATCCCAGCATGAGGATGACTTTACTTGCACATTTTTTCCCCTATTGTTACTGGTACGTGTGAAGTAACACAGATGGATAATGTTGTGGTATTTAGACCATTTTGCTAGTTTTTCTAATTTATAATCCTTCTGTATAGAGCCATCAGAAGGACCTGTGGCTGACACAGGCATTCCGGGGAAAAATGAAGTTACAATAAAATGGAAAGAGATCTCAAAGGATAAAAGAAATGGATTTATCAGGAACTATACAATATTTTATAAACCAGAAGATGGAAAAGAATTGAGTAAGTATGCATTAAACATCAATGCTTTGAACACAGTTGTGACAGTCTGCTGTCTGAAGATAGTTATTTACGTAGTTATTACCACACTTTGATGTTCTATGTTAACATGTCTGAAAATACTGGTACTAATATGTGGCTTACATAAAAATTAAAACATTTTTGTTTGATTGAAATGATGGAGCATCCAGTGAATAGTCCTTGCTTTAATACCACACATGCATTCTTGCTCAGTTTCTTTCTTCTGAGCTTATTTTGTTCAGCACTTCTTACTCTGAGTTAATCTTTTTTACTGGTGGTATTCTATTACCCATAGAGTAGTAGAACCGTGATGGATGACTGCATCATCCTTTCTGCTTCTCAAATGCAATCTGTTGGAAATGAATCTCCAGGTGATAAATTTAGTCATTGTATGGCAGCGCTATCATGGCTGTTCTCTTTCCAGACCAGGATGGTGACATATAGCAGAGGTGTTTTGCAGATTGTTCTCCATTAACAGTAATAATAAATAAATAAATAAATTTGCAGGGTTATGCCAAGTTAGTGTTATTTGTTAAATACTTGCTGTTTTTCCCCTTTTACATATCTACGAGTCTCCCTCCCTCTTCAGATCTTAGTTGTGACACACCTCTGAAGAAAATGGAAAAAGTCATGGCAGAAGTAGAAGAGCTAAAGTGGAGCTGAAATATATTGGAGAGTCACAGATACCATGCAAATTCATTAATTTGAACCTTATGAGGGTTCAGTGAATTTATAAATTCCATGCATGTCCTTGGAAAGATGCCTTTCCCAAGCTTCTAGAACAGTATGGTGGAAATTTTCTAGGAAAAATGTGTTTACAGTTAGTTTTATAATAAAGCAAAATAGCAAATGATAGTCAAGAAACTAAAGTGAGCTTCCAAGAAATAGTTTCTTTGGACATACTTTTTAGATTAATTTCTTCAAATGTGCTTGATTTTCTGTGCTAGATACTGCTTTTCTGCTCTGGAGGCTGATAGTATATCTTTTTGAGCATATTCTTAATATCCTGCCTCGGGAGTAGCATCCATACAAGGTGTCAGTCTAATCCTATCTATTCAGAACTTCTCTAGCTGAAATCTCATCAGAATCTTTTATGAGAAGTATTTTGGTGACCTAAATCTGTTCTTCCTGTGTAGCTGATGAAGAATGCTGTTGGATCATTCAGTGCTTCAGAAATGGTGCTTTTTCCTCCTTTACTTTAGACAGCATTGTTTGCAGACACCTAAAATTTTTTTTAAACAAATATCTCAAACTTAGAAGTCTTGTGATGTCTTCAGTTGCTTCTAGCTATCCAGTTTGGTGTCAGGTATTCTTGGTAATTTTCAAATTAGAAAGAGGAAACTGATTATTACTGTCGCATTCAGTCCTCTCCATGCAGTTTTTCTGCCTTGTTGGTTTATGAGTAACTTAATGCTGACTGCTTTGTGCAGGGGCATCCTCAAGACATGCAGACTCATGTTATCCAGCCATAAATGCCCATATTTACTAACATAAAGCAGACTGTACCCGTTTTAGGGGTTTAGATTAGTTTGTTTAGGAAATTAGTTTTAAATATCAATTCAAGGGAGTTGAATTTAAATGGCAAAATATTCTGATCATTTTTGAGGCTTCTCTCATATCACATCTATTTGCTAAAAAGAGAACATGTTGAGTTTGTTCCAAGATGACTTCACTGATGGCCTTTTAAATCCAGGGCTTCACTTTTTGCTCCTTGATTTTAGACAAACTCTGTTTAATCTCAGGGTGGACAGCATATCCATTTCTTGAGCATTTCTTGACTGAATGGTAACATGAGTTGGCTTTGACTTTATGCATTAGCGAATGTTTTAGTGACTTTAATTTCATAATATGAATATAGGTTTAATACTGTTTGTAGAAATAGAATGTTATGATACATGTCCTGCATAGGAAAACAATCGAAAAGTGAAGTATGTCATAATAAGTCCAGTAATAAGTCCAGTAATAAGTCCAGTAATAAAGAATGGTTTCCAATACAAAACATTGAGTTCTAGTCAGGAAAGCATTTTGAAACTTAAAAAAGGCAATTTGTTGATTTTGGCTTTCCTCTGACTTTATTGGGGTGTTATCCCCGTGCCAATAGATTGGATCCTTTTGAATGATCAATGTCTAGCTGCATGTACTAGAAATGTAACTAAATTTAATGAGCTGCAGAAACTGTTCTTAATTCCTGAGCCAACTATTTTCAGTTTTTAATTTCTAAGCCTAGGTTCCAGGAAATATAGTTCTCAGAGCACTGTTTTCAATGATAAAATAAACTAAAGAAGATCATAATTTGCCTATCTTTAGTATTAGCAAGCCAATACTATTTTTTTTTAATGTATTTATTTTTAAAAGTAAATACATAATGGTTTTTTTTTTTTCTCTGAACTTTTAAGTAGCATTGATAAACATTGGTAATTTAAGTTTTCTCTCTTCAAGGACTGATAAATTTGCTTTGTATTTCACACTGTCATTAAAATACTTTGTGATCTATCATTGTAAAAGATGCTAAGTGTACATTTCCCTCATAAAACACTCTTTTGTGTGTTTATTGACATAAATCTTCTCCTAAAAAGATGAAACAGTGAACTTTGATGTCCTGCAGTATAGACTGAAGTCCCTACAGGCTAATACGCAATATACTGTCTATATCGTGGCCAACAACAAAGCAGGTGGAACCAGTGGGGAGCGAAAAACCTTCAAGACTTTGAAATTCGGTAAGTAATGTTCTGTGTTAGTTGTTACTGTTTTAAAAACAGGTTTGGGAGTAAGAAATGTAGGGCATTTTCTTAAATGCTGTCCTCCCCACCCCCTTTTTTTTTTGTTCTTTTGAAAATTAGTGTTAAACAAAACAAGATTTACCAACACTAGCTGAATCTAATTCGGTTTCACTGAGCATCTCACAGACTAAAACCTCAAGACTGGAAGAGAAAACCCAGAGTCTTTATTTTGCTGTCTATAAAGTTGTTGAATACTATGGGTATTTGTGGGAGCAACAGTTTGTATGGTGTCACCTACACGATGGGATTCCTAACAGTTTACTAAAAAGCAGACCTTTCCACCTGAGTGAGATACTGGGTTTAGAATAGCTGTGCCTTGTGCCACATCTTTTCTGCTACGTAGGGTTAACTAATAAAGAAGTGCACAGGTTGTGGCCTGTGTGTGTGTGTGAAATACCTTTTCCTCTTTCTTACTGTGTGTTTTATCCTGGTTTTACCAAGGGGGTTGGTATGATGACTGCAGGTCAGATGGCTGGAGGTCAGAAGTTCAGACACTTCCTCATTTTTACTTCTGGAAAAATGTTTTCAATACATACATAAATTGCCATAGTGATGGCCAAACTGAAATACAAAGAAGTGCATGAGCTATCCTTAAACTTCTTACGAGACTTGACACTAACTTTGGTAGCAGACTCTTTGTCTTGGGTGGCTTTCAAAGGTTGGTTTGGTATGACCCTAAGCAGCATGGATCTAATTTCAAAGTTGGATGAGGTGATACTCAGATTGGAGGGGACATCTATTATTGTGTGGTTCTATTAAATAAAGGAATTTTTAAAATGCGATGGATCTGTTCCTGAGATATTCTGAGAAGTCTCATAATGAACTGATTTTCTGACTTAGTAACTGTGACTTGCTAGATTCAAAATACTCATCTTTTAACATGTTAACAATGAATACCATATAGTATTCTGTGTAATTTTGGCTAGTTTTGACAGAGATCTTTAGAATTGTGCTCATTAGGTGATATGAGTGTTGAAAATTAGTTGTCTTAAGGAAATATGTGAGGAAAACATAAACATCTGTGGATTTTTTTTATTTTTTTTTTTTTTTTCCCCCTCTAAAGATAAAGATGATGTTATTTTCATCGCCCTACCTGTTGGATTAAGCATGTTGTTTCTGTTAGGCCTTTGGATAACATGCATTTTGAAAAAACACACGTGAGTACATTTTCTACCTTCTAAGACTGAATGCAGCCCGTTAATTATGACTTGTAGAAGGCAAATTTTTATATATCCTATGAATTCTTTTGTTGGGTTCTATACAATTGTCAAATTAAGAAAATAAACAATTGGAATAACAAATAACTTAAGTGTACAGGTTATCTTGTAACTGGGGTAACAGTACTATAATCCAAAATTAAATATTAATTTTAGCAAGTGCAGTAAATAAGAACAAAATGAATAGGAGAAACAGATCTACATATCCCCTGTATTAGTTTATGAAAATGCTACATGTGGAGTTTCATGGTCAATCAAGTGGGAGAAGCATACTTTAAGTTAGTTACTGCATAGTTAATAACACCACAAGTACAGTTTCCCAGGCACTCATAATGTATTGGTTAGTACACCACTAGAGCACATTTCTATAACCCCTGTTGCTTATCTTAGCTACATTACTGCTACTTTTGTTAGTTTGTGACAATTCCGTTGAGCTCTGAAGAAGTAATGAAGAAACCAGGAACTGTATCACGTGAAAGCATTTGACTGTGAGTCCACACCTAGACATGAGTCGTAATCCTTTCCTCTGCTGTCACAGAGGGCCCCTGACAGATTTCAGATTGCTTTCTCAGAGCTTGTGGAGACGCTGTAGCTTCCCAAAGATGACTGTGAGGAATATTTAAGGTTACAAAATGTGCTTTTCTGTAGCATGAAAATTGGCTGGGTTGTTTGCTGAAGCTTAATGAAAAGATTAAATATCTTTACTGTTTTGAGGTGTTCTAAGCTATTGGAACCAAAATGTTTGTCATGCCAGCATTGCATAGTAAGTATGAAGATAAGTTTGAATAGATACAAGTAGTAAGAATAATCTCCAACTCACATCTTCCTAATTTACATCTTCATCGGTGTGGTGTAGTCTCAGTTTTTACAAGAGTAAGAAACTGTTTTGATTCTCAAGAATACTTTGAGATGTAGTTGAATGTTTATGTTCTAGTGTAAATCAAATTGCAAAGTGAAAAGTGAATCCATGTCCTGCTTTTCATTCACTTACATATTGAGTACCACGGTGATACTCATCATCAACAAGGGATTAATTTTGTTTTGTGTTTACATTTCACATCATTTATCTACTGTTAACATAAGAACTGAGCGTAGCTCTAGTGTGGTGTAGTGCTAGGGACACTTTCCTAGAGCAGAGTTTACCTGAGGTGGCTCTTCACTGCGGAACTACCCTTAAAGAGGATCACAACAGGTTTTGTATACAGCCTTATTTTGGCATGCTATCATTTGATCTACAATACAATGAAAAATTTACTACTGTGCCCTATTAGTTTTTCTGCAGTGTCGCTGTAACCCAAGTTTTTTACTTGTTGAGATCTTTAGTAATAAAAATTAATGTGAGGGAAAACAATTTTAATGAAAAATATTGTGTTAATATAGGAAAGACTTGAGAAAGTTTCGTATTTTAGCAGCATTTGGGCTTTCTGGAGATGTACTCATTTTATTCTTAATAATATATTTCTTTTATCATTTGCCTAAAATACCTTTCTCGATGGTAGGTTTAAAAAGGTTTGCTGGCCTGATATACCTAATCCTGCAGAAAGCATTGCGGTGGAATGGCCTCTTGATGCATCTATGGTAATTATTGCAGTTTTATCTGTTAAAGAAAGGGTCAGATGGTGAGAAGTCCTTCTCTGACAGTCATTTTACTACTAAAGAAAAAAATAAATGGTTGAGTTTCATTCTTCTGTTTACATGCTATTAAATGTTCTTAGTTATATTTCCAGTTAATACAAAATATGCATCTTTATAAAGTAGTTTTATATGAAAATGAAAAATAATGTTTTGAAGTTCTAAATTTCTAAAGTGACAGGTGGACATGGTTTATTAAATAAAAGTCAATTAAACTTGCTCAGGTTATTGAGGCTACCGAGTTAGATTCTCACATCTGGATATCTCATGCCTTCTCTACAAAAAATGTAGTGCGAAGTATAAGAAGATTCAGTATACTATTTTACTCACATTTTAATCTTTTTTTATTATGGGATATTTATTCCTTATCAAAGTTTCTGTGTTTATTAGAATGGAGTTGATTAGGCTTACATAGAAAGTGTAATTTGTGGAGAATGGGATTTAAATTTTTGTCCCAAAATGACTGGTTAGAGTTGAAAAGATGGAAACAGCCTGAGCTTGATTCCAAGTCTTCATTGAAACTCCTTATTTTATTAGGCATAGAAAACCTAACATGAAGTGTTTAACAAATGGACAGAAAAACATTAATTATTTTTAGTACTTATTAACATATAACTGCACCTCATCTGAAATGCACATGAACTCTATTAATACACTTTTAAAGCTGTCAAACAGAGCTCTAATGGCAATATTTTAGATATTACAAAAAATAATCTAATAAATTATCTGTCCCTATGTAACTTTCCAATTTATCTCTCTGTACTGACAGAATAATTCGTTTTTGAAGGGAGTGGCATCTGAGGCTAAGCCCCTAGACTTTGAAGATGTAAGTGTTTTGGAACATTGTTTTCCTGAAGAAAGTCAGGAAGAGTCTCTACTAATGAAATGTGGAAGCCATGTTCCTGAATGTACTGATATTAATACAAAAGACAAGATAAATGGAGATAAAAAGATACTGTATAATGAAGAAAATGAAGTTCCTAAATGTTTTTCACCATCCATGCCTTATATAACTACTGATGAAGATATCAGAAGTGAAATGCATTCAGCTTTGATACCAGCAAAGGAAATACAACCCATAGAAATGCTGGAAGATGATTTATGTGAATCCGAACAGACTTCAATTACAAATGAAGGAAATTATAATGAAGATGTTTTAAAGCTGGAAGATTTCAGTGAAAAAGCACTGTTCAATCCATACCTTAGAAATTCTGTTAAAACAAGAGAATTTCTTATTTCAGAACACCATAAGAATGAGCTCCAAACCCAGTCAAATCTCTTGCCTCCTTTTCAACAAAATGTTGCAGGACAGCCCTATGTAACACTGGACATGTTTGGGCTGGCCACAGCTCATTAGTATGGGAAGATTTTCTTTTGTAAAGTCCCCTTGCGAGATAATGTCTTGGCAGTGCTGCTTATATGTGTTTGTATGTTCTAGCTGGGCTGACCTCAGTTAATTTGGATGTAAACACCCTGTTCCTTTCAACAGCTGTGAAGTCAGTTTTTGCACTGTGTTTATACCTGTCAGGGTTCAGTTTCAATGTGGAGTGGTTTGGGGTTTAGTTTCTGACCAGATGTGCCAGTAGTGAGGCAAGGAAACAGCTACTCTTATTTCTTAATTCTCCTATATCAGTCTGCTGTAACAAACTGATCTTTACTGTGGGAGCATCCACAGTGCAAGCAGCTCGCCAGTTTCCCTCCTTGCAGCCAGTTCCCATGGCTGAGCTCTGCAGGGGATACATGGACGGACTTGGACAGAGCCGGGATCTCCTGAATCCTTCCTTAAGTTACATGGAGTAGAATTATTTTCCTGTTCTTATTTCCCGTGATTGTTTTATATCTGGTTTAATGGACAGTGTTCCTCCTGTTTCATAACAGGTCTTTTTGTATCCTGACTCTTGAATTAGTGGTTTGGCTTATATTTTCTCTGTCTTTAATGAAAGCATATCTGTTATGCATATGCTATTGACTTAACTGCTTTTTGGAAAAGATAGAGTTACATTTTCTCTGTTATGTCCTTCCCCATCTCCTGTGTTCTTAATCATCCTCGTGCTGCTTTTGTCTGTCTTGTTTGTTTGTTGCTTTTTAAAACTCTTTTCTGCAGGATATCTTCTTATCTTCTTGCTCCCTTGCCTCTAATTTCTCCCAGTTTAAAACTATGTTTCCCAGTTGAGGTTTTGATATTTTGAACTGGAAAAAAAAAAAAAAAGGCTAAATACTAAATACAGCATCTTGTGTTGGAATAAGCACTGAGTTTATATTTAGGAAATTATTTTTCTGGGAGTTACTGATAAAAACACTAAGTCTACAAAATGTTCCCACATATCGTCAGGTGACTGATTTAGGGGATTTAGGGCTACAGAGTTCTCCATGAAGGCTGTAAGCTTTGTCTTTTGCTTTATGATCTTGATAATTCATAAAACTACTTGTAGTTTCCGTTTTGTACAGCAGCAATTAAGCAGGAAACTCTCCATCAAACATTATTTTTTTTTTTCAGCAGGAAGAAGGCTATTACTGTAAAGATCTTACTAAAATATTTACTCCACTAAATGACAGGTAAAAAAAAAACCAAATAGCTGGAGAACCAACTCTTAAGTGTGCTGCATGACACGTGTGGCATGTAGTAATTTTAAGACTTTATTTTGACATCATTTAAAGGTTTGACATCATCAGTCTGTTTGTGCATAACAGCAGACATCTTTACAGATGAAGATGTACAGGAGTCACGGGGATAGAAAAAGGAGAGACAAGTGTGAATAGGAGTGGAAAGCGTTTCCCTGCTGCGCAGGGAGAGGTGCAGGAGAAGGGAAAATGCATTGTCCAGCATGGATGCGGAGGCTGGGCCTTACCGTAGATGTATTGGCTGTTACTTGCATTGTGTTGGGGAAGACAGGGTAAAGTTCCCATTTGGGCTTTTCAATGGTAGTTTGGAAGCTGCTTTTAATCATAAAATTTTTTGGTTTCTTTCCAAGAAAGGACGAGAAAACTATTTCTGCATATATTCTTTGTACAGCAACGCTGATTTCCACCCTGCTAAGTTTGTTGGATCAGTTTCCCAACCACAGGGCTGTAAGCCAAAATATATGTATGTTTGTTCTTAAAAGCCCGCCCTTACTTAGATAGTCATGCTCTGAAATGAGCATGGGACACAGTTTTGGTTGGGTTCAGCTGCTTCACGAGCTTCACACTTCTTACTCACAGCTACATTGCCATTACTTGGGGTTCAGAAGTCACTGACTCAGTCACAGCAGTTTTTTTCCCCCCCTTAATCTCAGTGCTGCTTTAATATCACAAGATTTAAAATAAACAGATACAGAGATATTTGGGGAACTGTATAGGAATTCTTTAGCAGCCATATGAAAGCTGCATACTCTGAGTTGTATGTCTGAGTTAGGGGGAAAAAAAAAGGCAGCAACTTTTACAGACTCATTAGAAAGGGGATGTTCTTGCTGGGTGGCTTGAGTGGCTTTTGGGGGGTAATTAATAACCTACTCTTCCATCACATTTTGTTTCCTTCTGTATTGCTATTCTGCTTTCTCTCTTCACTTCTGATTTTCTTGCCCATTATTTTCTCTAAAGAAGGGTAGTGCAGTAACTGGGCTCAATACATCTCAGAAATTAGGGCTGGCTTTTACCCATGGTTTGGAACACGACCTTCCTGGGCTTGGTTTGTTTTGCATTCAAAGTTGTACTCTTTCTGACCTTTTACAATTTGTCTTTCAAACTAATGCTGTGAACCATGAAAAAATAAAAGAGAACACATGGAAAAGTTTTAATCAATGTATACTAAATGCACATCACCATTTCTACCCAGCCTTAAAATGCAAAAAATTCATCTTTCAGAGGTATGGGTCTGTGCACAGTTAACAGAGATTGGCTTGTGGCATAGTTTCAAGGAGATATTGATGCATCTTCACCATTGTCATTCTTTTGTTTATCATACAAATAATTCCTTTCTGACCGTAAGGCTTATGCCCTGCAAATTATTAATGTCATGTTTTTCCTTAGCTCCCAAGAATTTTAAAATCTGTGAAGAAAACACAAACTCTTTGATATAACATAGTAAGCTCTCATAGGCAATTTTTCTGTGATATGTAACCTATACTATAGTATTTCTGTGTTCCTCATTCCCTTAACAATTGCCCAGATAGGGAGAAAAGGTATGTTAGCGGTTAATGCAGTGAAGAGAAGGAAGCTTCCTCCCTCCAGTTAGCACTCACTTGCTCAGTGCATGCTCCTCCAGAGAGAATGTGATTGCTGCTGAACAGCTTCTGTAGACAGGCTGGCTGGAGGTCTGACCTAGCTGGTGCTCTTCAGTATTGATCTTGGCGCAAAGTCTATTTCATTATAGATAATATTGTCTTTTTCTGTTCTTGAAATATTTACCCATTATAAATAGATTTCTCTTTTTGAGATAGTTTGACTTCTCAAGGTAGATGTTCCACGAGTGAGAACTTAGAAGAGGTGCATCATTATTCCAGGTTTGGTATCTCATGTAGCAGATCATAAGGGTTTGCATGCAACAGAGCCCTAATCTGAGCACAGAATGTGTGTGTGGTGTCTGTGCGTCTCACAGCTTCTGTGCTTGCCCAGGGTTCCTGTTACCTTTGCAGTCATTTCAGCAGTTCCTTTTTGTCAGTTTTGCATAGTGATGCCCTAGGCTTCACGTTTGTATGTTGCTTTGAGATTTAACACTGCAGGATGGGAAAAGGAGTCCAGGAAAGCTGGACATCCTTCAAGAAAAAAAATCTTTAAGGCACAGTAGCAGGCCATTCCAATATGCTGAAATTTGAGGCAGAGGGGAGGAAGATTGGCTGAAGAGAGACCTTTGGCTCAATCTCAGGAAAAAAAGTTTATGACCTTGGGGAGAAAGGGCAGGCAAGTCACAAGGACTACAAGAATACTGTGAGATTATGTAGGGGGAAAATTAGAAGGGCCAAAGCTCAGCTAGAACTTGATCTGGCTACTGCTATGAAGTGCTGGATTAAACCCCCAGCCCTGAATGAGGGTTGGCATATGGATTATGTCCACAACCAGGCAATGAAGATCCTCCTGATTGGTTTTCACCCAGGGTCTGGCCAGCCTTGGTTGGGAACTGGTTAGGAGATCACCACCAGGTGCCCCCACCTTCCACATTAACTTGGAGGCGGGGCAAGAAGCCACCTCTGTAAGAGCTGACTGCATGCAGTGGAGCCTGGAAGCCTGCACACACAGCGGGTGTGCTTGTGGGGGTTCTGGTTATCGAAAGGGCTCCCTGGCTCTTCACAGCAAGTGGAGTTCCCAGGACAGCAGAACAAGACCACGAGTCTCTCTGGGAAAATTCTACATTATGGGACTGATCGCCTGGGTCCTTCCACCCCCCACAGCTTGGATCCATGGCCAGCTCACTCCCTTCTTTACACACTGTGCTGTGATTGAGCAGTTATTTACTCCTCCCTCCAGTGGTCTGGCACCTTGGAGCATTTCTGTATGATTTAAGTTCAGAGCAAGGAATCTGGCTTTTGGTTTGTCCTTCTGTATCAGGCAAGCGGTCAGCAGAAGATGCTGTAAAAGATGATTTAAAATGTTTCTATAAATACATTAGCAACCACAGGAGGGCTATAGAGAATATCACACCAGAAGGCTGTGCTGCCATTC